ATATATATAAGGTCAAATGAAGGAAAGTGCCCCAAAAATGTGTATTTTGCAAAAGAGAGTCTAGAGCCTACCTGTGTTGACAGTAAGTGCTCACTGCTCAGGTGTGGAGTTAATGCAAATGGACAGCCATTGTTACCCACAAGAAGCGCCCTCTGCTGGAGTCAATTCCTCCAAAACTTTGAGTCCTGTTTTCTCCCTAATCTTGTTTGCAGATTACCAATATTCAAATGGTCATATCTTCTTCATTTTGTTTCTGATTGCCCTCTGCTGGTTCTGCCTGACTCTGCAGGCTGAGTCATTTCTACCTTCTCCTCTCTGTCAACGCTCTCTGGTTTCATTTAAAAGAGTCGATCATCAGATATTGTCCAAGATTAACCTTCAGGGTGGATATAGCTCGCTAGCAGCCTCGCTCTGAGGACCTATCTACGTCATCATTTACCCAAAATGCTTTGTGTGTAAATAAAAATGGCCCCATCCGTGTAATATATTTTAAACTTTTAGTTTAAAAATGACAAAAACTAAAACAGCCTACAGTATTTTTACAGTCTTTATTTTACAGTTAAAATATGTTTATCAAATAAAGTCTAATGTTACAACTAATCAGGGGTCTTGAACCTGACAATTCCAAAAGCTGCTACTAAAACGGCTAAAAGTTTCTGGGCTTGCGTACCATGGATGTCCCTGAAGGCGGCGTCCACGTCGTCGGGGATGCCGCTCCAGTCCTGCATCCTGCGCGGGTGGACGGTCTCGACGCGGTCCTCGTGGGGGCTGAACCTCCAGTAGCTGCCCGACTTGAAGAAGTAGGTGTTGTAGTTGGAATCGTGGCCCCAGCGAAGTGCAGCTTGGATCCTGGAGATGGACAGACCCAGAGTTCGGATGGGCTCCGGCCCCCTGATTCGGGTCTCAGCGTCGAAAACCCAGAAGTGATCGCCTGCAGAAACAACTCACTTCATTCTCCATTTGAGAGCAGCTGAAGATTTGTTAACCCTCAGTAGGGTTTTCACTCCACCCCCCAACATGAAGCCATAAACCACATGACTGCACCCACCTTTAAAGAACCAAATATTTCCCAACTTGTCTTCAAAGGCGGCGTCGATCTTGGCTGGAATCCCCTTCCAGTGCCGGGACGCCAGAGCCGGGTACCCGCTCTCCAGGTGCTTTGATCCTGCAGGGTCCCTGATCCTCCAAACGTAACCCGCCTTGAAGAAGAACAGCTCGCCTCGGATCATGGACGCCGCGTCGAAGTCCGTCTCACAGACGTTGGGCTGGAAAATACGCCGGAGCGCTTGTTTATTTCAACTCAAATCTAAAGTTTTACTGCAGCGGGATGAAGCATTGATGAGTCGTTTTAGGATTTTAACCTGACACTGGAGTGAAGATGACTTTTTTTTATTTGTAATACAAGACCACCACTTCAGTTTCACCAGCAAAATAAAACGACAAAGAAAAAAAACTACTTTAGTGTAAGTCTGCTAACCAGATAAAAATGAAGTCAAAACTAAATTAACGTTTGAAAGAACTGTCTGTAAATCTCATTTATTTAGGCTCAGGCCTTTTTAACCACCTCAACACTTACTTCAGCACCAAATGTCATCAAAATACACAAGAAGAAAGTCCCCAAACCAGCAGATACAGTACATCAGATACTAAATCCTGGCCTAATGTTGGATTTGTCCTTGAAGTTGATTTTAAGTTAGCATTAATTTTTTTAAGCAGGACGGGAGACATGAGAGTGCTTCTGGTAGTTTTGTGAGGAGCTACGTCACCTCTCACAGTTTGTGCATCTTAAATCTACATCTTGTTGGAAGATTACTTCTTCTAAATCCATGAAACTGCTGCCAGACTAGGGTTGGGTACCAAAACTTGGTTCCAATATGGCACCAGTGTGAACATCAACGGTAGTACACAGACCGAAACACAACTCTAACTTTGGTGCCTCAAAGAAAGCTGTTAAATTGCGCCCTCTGGTGTTCACTGTTAACAGTGACAGCCTCGGCACACAATATCCACGGACGCTCTGGTACGCGGTTTGACTCGGCCCGATCTCAGCCCAATGCGTCTCTCCGAGCGTGCTCCACAGCCGCGCTGTATCAGAACCTCCTCTCCAATTTTGACGTCAGCAGAATTCTGTCTGTGGATTAACTCTTGGATTGAKTGAAAGCAAATTTCCTCCTGGAGAGAGCTGCTCTTGTTTAGGAATATGAGCGCGCAGCACTTTAAGAATATTTGGTGCAAAGAAAAATTATTAATGATTTTAAGTTAATATGTTGGTCAATTCCAAGTTTGACTTTGCCTCAGAAATAGTCATTGCTTCATAAACCTCTGTGTGAGTGTGCGTGTTTTCTTTCTTTATTTTTAAAGTACCGATTTAAATACCGTTTAGGAGCCGGTACCGTTTGGAAAGTATCGATTTGGCACTGGTATTTCAAAACCCAATCCTATGCTAAACCCAGCTTCAGACAATCAGTAGCAATAAAACAGGTAAAATGCATAAAAAGCCTTCATATTACACTCATATGACCCTCTTATGCAGTTTTTTTAAAAGTTACATTTGTTGGACTCACAGGAATTTCGTTGGTCTCGATGTGGTCAGGTGCAGGTGGTGGTGGGGGAGGAGGCGGAGGAGTGGTCGGTGGCGGGGCCATGACCTGCGGCTTGGCTCCGTACAGGTACTGGATGCCTTGCTTGTCGTCCTCGCTCAGCTTCAGCGGGTAGGAGAAGGAGTAGTACTCGTACATGATGGTTTTTGGCTTGTGTGAGTGCTGCAGGCCCAGGACATGCCCGAATTCATGAGCAGCGACCTGCAGAAGGTCTGTACCTGCAGGAACGACGGGAGAGGACTCGGTGAGAGTTTGTTTTGATGGAGGGGATTTCACTACCTGAGCCAATTCAGTGCCGAAACATCACCCATCAAGACAATGTTAATAATGAATCTTCTTACACCAGAGTTAGTCATGGAGTTCCTCAGGGTTCAGAGCTTGGACCAATCCTCTTTACTTTGTATATGCTTCCATTAGGTAAAGTTATTAATCAGCATGGGATAAATTTCCATTGTTACGCAGATGATACTCAGTTATATTTATCCATGAAACCTGATGAATCCAACCAGTTACTTAAACTACAAGCATGTCTTACAGACATAAAAACATGGATGACTCTTAACTTTCTGCTTCTAAACTCAGATAAGACAGAGTTTATGGTTCTTGGACCTGAACATCTTAGGGATCAACTTTGCAGCCTTTCACCTCCTCTGGATGGCATTAATCTGGCCTCCAGTTCTAATGTAAAGAACCTTGGTGTTATTTTTGATCAGGACATGTCTTTTAACCTCCACATTAAAAATGTTACCAGGACCATCTTCTTCCACCTGCGTAATATCACTAAAATTAGAAATATTTTGTCCAAAAATGATGCAGAAAAACTGATTCATGCATTTATCATGTCTAGACTGGATTACTGTAATTCTTTATTATCTGGGCATCCAAAAAACTCTAAGTCTTCAGTTAATCCAAAATGCTGCTGCTAGAGTTATAATGAGAGTTGGAAGGAGAGATCATATTTCTCCAGTTTTAGCTTCTCTCCACTGGCTCCCTGTCAAATTCAGAATAGAATTTAAAATATTACTCCTAACATACAAAGCTCTTAACAACCAAGCTCCATCATATATTAAACATCTTATTGTTCCATACTTTCCTAACAGAGCACTTCACTCTCAGACTGCAGGTTTACTTGTGGTTCCTGGAGTTTCTAAAAGTAGAATGGGAGGCAGAGCTTTCAGTTATCAAGCTCCTCTCTTGTGGAACCAACTTCCAGTTTCTGTCCGTGAGGCTGACACTCTGTCTACTTTTAAGATTAGACTGAAGACTTTCCTTTTTGATAAATCCTATAGTTAGACTTGGTTTCCTGAATTATTCTTCATTTCTGCTGCTATAGACTTAGACTGCTGGAACACAAACTGAGCACATTTCCTCACTCTGCTGTTGTCTTTAGTCTCTCTTCTCTACATGTTTATTGTAATTATTTCTATCAATAAAGTGTATTTTTTTTGTATCTCTTTCAGAGGAAAATACACCTGGACCAGTTCTTCTGTGTTTGTTTGTGTCTCTTTTAGGGGTGTCCCGATCCGATACTGATATCGGATATCGGTCCGATATCAGCCAGAAAACGAGTATCGGATTTTATCGGCCTGCATAAAAAATGTCCAAAATAAGTGCTCCGATATTAGCAGTCCGTTCCAGCAGTCCACTGACTCCGCTCCAGTGTTTCTATCCAGCAGCCCTTGGATCCAGCATGCAGCGCTCATGTGATCACAGTAACATGCTACGCTAACAAGTTAGCAAGAATGTCGGCAGAACTTTTTATTTTCATCAGAAACAGAGTTGAAGCTAAATGCAAAGTTGTCACGCACAAGTTTTCCGAGGGGGAACAGAACCGTGAACGTTTTAAACCAGAGCGACAACTAATCTCCACCCTGGCAGCAGCTTTGCGGTTCGGCTCGGTTCAGCCTCGGTCCAAAAGTGTCTCCATGATTCCAACCGAGCAGAACCTCCTCTCACTCCGGTGGTTCTAGCGGGCAGAAGCGAGGACAGCACGCTTTTTAYKGTTTTGACATCAGCAGAATGTTGCCCGTGGATTATCTCTTGATGGACAGAAGAAAGGAAGAGCGCAGCTTTTGTTTTGGAATAAGAGCGACATGACGAGAGCAGTGATAAAAACTGCTCCCTGCAGGAGAGAGGGGCTAATCTCCACATGATGCTCAGACTGTAGAAGGTATTAATAATTAACTGACTGATTCTTACTATTTATTTTTGCTCGAGTGATGTTTAATCTACGGTATTTACATACTTGTTTTAGTGAAGATTAAGTGCAATGAATTTATTTATTCAGCCCTAAGAAAATGCTGCTAAGTTGCATACAGGTCCTACATTTGACACACTGATTGTACTGTTGTGCTGCTATTGTGCCACACCATCTACTGTGCTGAAATTTATTTTTTTAATTTTTATTCTTTTTTTAGTGTGCCTATGTGTGTGTGTGTATATATATATATATATATATATATATATATATATTTCCTTTTTTAACTTTTTTTATTGTTCTCATACTGTTTTTTTAGACCTTATAATGTTTTTTCTATCATTACTGTTCTGTCATCTGTACTGTGACTAGGAGAGATGCCCATACAAGAATTCCAATGTATATAACTGCTAGTATATGCACAAATGGCAAATAAACATCTATCTATCTATCAATGATCACGTTGTTTTGAGCACAGTCAGTAAAATTGTACCTGTGGACTCTTAACTTTGAACAGACAATAATGTGGGGTTTTGTTTTTATTGTTATTTTGTCAAGGTATTGTAATTTATTTTATTTATTAAATTGTAGAATGTTCTTCAGTTTAAAATGTATGTGATCCATTGGTTAAAAATAAATGGGTCAGTTTTTCTCATATCTACTCTTTTTCACTGTTTGACTTGATCAAGACTTTTCTAAGATTTTACACTACAAAACAGGTAAAAGTGTGTGACTTGTACTGTTTTGGTAACGGGTCAATATCGGTATCGTATCGGAAGTAAAAAAGTTGTATCGGGACATCCCTAGTCTCTTTCCTGTCCCAAACCCAGCTGGTCGAGGCAGATAGCCTGAGCCTGGTTCTGTTGGAGGTTTCTTCCTGTTAAAGGGAGTTTTTCCTCTCCACTGTCACCACTGTGCTGCTCAGGATGAGCGACTGTGACAAAGTGAAAATGCAACACAATCTGCTGCATCTTTAGATATACGTTTTGTGTACAGAGCCCTGAGATGGTGTTTGTTGTGACTTGGCGCCATATAAATAAACTGAATTGTCAGACATGTTTGACTTTAGTGTTAGTACTGTGAAAGCAGAATAGAAGCTAAAAGATGCGAAATAAATGCTAAAAACTTCAGTTTATTCATTTGCTCGAACCTTTTAACACAAAGTTTGCATGTATGTGTATTTATAGATCTCTAATGTTAAATAAACATGTTAAATTTGAATCCAGATGCTCACCCATGTAGTTACCCAGAGTCCAGGACTCGTCGTAGTCGAAATGAATTTCTCCTTGCTTGTGTGTTTTGGGGAAGAAGGCGTGAGCGAGAATCCCACCCAGCCCGTCGAAAGGGAGGCTGTCTCCGTGATAGTAGCTGCAGGTTTATAAAACAAACACTCCGGTGAGATTAAAGGAAAAATATTGTTTTTTAAAAATACATGTGGGCAAACGTTTAATGAAAAAACCTAAAACAAAGATTAATCCACTTGTTTTATTATCACTGAGCGCAGACTCGTTCAGTGTAAACTTTCATTTTTAGATACATTTTTTATATTTAAAGTTTTATAACCAACGGCTCGTGATTGAATCAAAACTATGACAAAATCACTGCACGACAAAAGAAAAACAAGAAAAAAGTCAGATACAGATCAACAAAAAAAGGAACTTTTAGTATCTGCTGCATGTAATCTGCTTGTCCTTTCTTGCTTCACTGCATCACCTCCCTATTCGTGTTAATCATCACGGTAATTTTAGTCAGTAAATCTTTTTGTAGCAGAGGTCTTTGTTGTCAGCACCTGATGTTATCTCATTGTTAAAATATTTGTTTCAGGGCTTTTTCGCTGAGACGCTCCTGATTGTTTATCCAGATGATGCTCAAGTAAATGCAATAAACTACTCTGTCAAACTTCGGCTGTTTTACCTATTTTACTTGAAATGATCACTTTTTTATAGTTTTATGGGTATTTTTCTGCTAATTTTGAAATTTTTTCAACCATTTCGCCATTTGGGTGCTACTTTTAACTTGAGTCTGTTACCTTTAGCTTATTTTTATGGTAACTTTAGCTGTTTTGCTGCGACATTAGCTAAAATTCTAATTCTTTCTGCTATTTTTTTCTGCTTTGTTATACTTTTTTCAGCTAACTTGTGCAATTTATGCTTCTTACAGTTGTTTTCTTCTGTATTCAGCTTTTTGCTACAAATTGAACTAAATTTTAGCTGTTATTAGCCAAAGTTAGCTTTCTAAGCAAATCACACATTGTTTTGGAGCTATTTCAACTTAATTCTGCTAAATTCAGCAAACTTGTGCTCCTTATGCTAAGTAAAATGTTTGCAGCTACTTTTTAGCTGTTTTAGCTGTTTTACTTAAAGGTTCAGCTGTTACTTCAAATGATCATGTTTTAGTAGTTTTGTAGTTCTTTTTATGCTATTTTTGAATTTTTAACATCCATTTCACCATCTGGGTGCTATGTTCAACTTGAGTCTGCTACCTTTAGCTTATTACCTCCGCCAAGGGCGAGGTAATGTTTTCGGTCGCATATGTCTGCCTGTCGTTCTGTCTGTGGACAAGATTACTCAAAAACTTGTGGACAGATAGTCATGACATTTTTACCACATGTGGGTACTGGCTTAAGTAACATAACTTTAAATTTTGGTGATGTTCCAGATCACGATGCGGATACAGGAATTTTTTTCTTTGAACACTCTGAGATCGGCAAAGCTGTGATGCTTTCACAGGGCGTGGGTTTTAAAGTGTCCAGCAGGTGGCACTGTAGTATTGGTGTGCTCCTTTGCAACTCTATTACAGGATGGGGGAAATTGGTCTTGGCGGAAGTTTGCACTCTCCGAGTGCTTCTTGTTTTTATGCTAATTTTAACTTTTTGCTGCTATATAAGCTAAAAGTTTGCTTCTTTATGGTTTTTCTCTGTTATTTACTATTTTTTGTAATTCTTTCTGTTAATTTGAACTGTTTATGCTTCCTACAGTTGCATCAATAATTATTGTATAATTAAATGACAGTTCGATGAACTCCTAACAAATTTACATTCCATGCAGCACGGTCAAACACAGCAGAAACAGATGTAGGAAAGTTGGTTTAAAGTGTCCAATCAGCTGATCTATTTACGTTTTCCTACAGGAGCTCTTTAGCCCAGTTCATGAAAGCAGTCAGGACCGGATGGAGTGAAGTGAAGGATTTTACATCGGTGTTCGGTTCTGTCGGCCAAGATCAGAAATCTGAGGCTGCACTGAGCACCGGTCAACAAACACAGCTTGGCCTGATGAGTCCTAGTTCCTGCTGAGGCTGAACATGGTGGGCAACAACCAGCAGCGTATATTTATGTAACCAAGCTGCACTGGATCAACTGTCCGTGCACTTCTTTCTCATTTATAGTACCTACGGTGCAGCTCAGCAGCTGATAAAGGCTCATTTATGGTGAAATTATTTTCAGGGGGAAAAGGTAGCCGGTATCATTCAGATAATAAAGAACACAAACTTTCTTTTTTCCAACCCTCAGCCAGCCAACCCACCGAGTAAAGTCGATCTGGATGTCGGCCGTCCCGCTGCGGACCTCGGTGAAAGTGAGAGGCGTGACGTCGCTCCAGATCTTCACGGCCTCCCGGAAGATCCGCCGCACCTTGTCCTCGCCCATCTGCCAGGGAAACTTGTTGATCCTGCAGGAGACCAGCGCAGGTGTCAACACAGGAAGACAAGTGGCAGAAAGAGACCACCAGCCTCGATATCTGCCGTCATCTCTTCTTAAAGAGAGAGGACGCCTGTTAGATTCACTAAGACTGTGATCTCCTCTGTTTCCACTCAGATAAAACCACCCAGCGTGATAATAACTTTAAAAAAAAAAGCTTACACCGTTTTGCAGCAAACAGCAACGGTTTGTGTTTATGTTTGTACAAATGCATAAATTACAGAGCAAATGCATGAACTTTGAAGATGATAGCTGGAATTTTAGGTAAAACTGTCCTTTAACTTGTAAGCTGGAAGCTGACGTGACTCAGAGAATTAAAGTAATCGTTCCACACTTTTTAAACCTCTCACTAGTGGTAATGTAGGAGCAGTCAGAACATGTTTTGCTTGTATTCAGCGCAGAGCTTCTGGACGAACTCCAGTCTAATTTTTTTTCTCTGCGATGATATAAAACCTGGCAAGGTGACCAATTCAGCAGAAAGCGTTCCAGCTTGTAACCTGGCCCCAGGCCAAACTACTCCTCTGTTGCATGGAGACGAGGTTCAAAGATACAAAATATTAATTAGAACGATTCAGAGATGTTTTTATGTCAGTTTTTATATCACACACTGGTTTAAGAAACATATTATTGTCGTAATGATTATTTTTAACACAAATTCTTAAAATTATCCTGCTTCTTACTTTGTTTTCAATTCCTTCGCGTCAGAGACGCAGACCAAAGATTGTGATCTACGCGATGAGTAAAATATGCTTGTAGACACTTAAATCTTTAATTTTCATCCAGCTAACAATGTGGGAAAATCCCCTTGATATGACACAGATGCTTAAACAGATTTTAACAAAGAAAACAAGAATGCATCATCGTTTTAGCTCCTCCTGCAGTTCCTCATTTTTCCAAAACATTATTGAAGACACAGCAGCAAAAAAAAAACTTTAATCTCATTTATTCACTCTCGAGTTAACATAAAATGAGAGAAGACTTAGAGAGGAGGCATAAAATCTTCTGAAAAACATTTATCTAAAACCAGCTGGTGCGAAAAAGAACTCATATCTGCAGTCCTGTATAAAGTAACWCAAAGTGATACTTGAGTAAAAGTACAAGTATCTTATCTTAAAGTTACTTTGGTAAAAGGTCAAGTCTCCTCTAAGAATATTACTTGAGTAAAAGTCTTAAAGTATCTGATTTATTTTGTACTTACGTATCAAAAGTAAACTTCTGACATAAAATGTACTTACTGTATTTATTCGTGTATAATACGATCTCATGTATAATAGGACCCCACACACACACACACACACACAC